TCCTTGCCCCCCTGCTGCTATTCTCTCTCTCGTGCTCCATCCTCCTTCCTCCCCCTGGACCCTGCCTTCCATCTGTCCTCTCTTCCCCTGCCGTAGGGGCTACATCACATACACGTTGCAGGTGAGAAAGATATATTTCCAAGGGGGCACGATCGAGGACGAAGAGGGCGGGTCATGAGTGTTTGGGATCTACGTGTTGAATAACACGCGGGCAGGTAAGAGCGTACAGTCTTAAACTGAGTGTTGTTGCTGTTCTTGGTTATAATTCACTTCGCCAAAACAATTGTTTCTCATCTCGCCCTTTCCGGAGCACATTGCACTTTCAATTAAACTGGTCCTCTCGAGGTTCGCACCTTGTTTTTACAGGGGAAAGCGAGGGGTCACCAAACTGGGCACTTGGCCGCCGAGTTATAGCAGCAACGGCTCCCGCCTGATACTTCGACACCATGTATTTCAAAATCGCACTCTCGCGCGGAACTTCCTCACAAGTTATGCAGGAATCGCGCTCTCGCGTGGGACGTCCTCGCCATTGATTCAGACGCCGCGCCCTCGACTCTCAGGAATCACGATCTCGCTTAGGCTTTTCGCGAGAGTTGCTTGGGAATCGTGCTATCGCTGGAGCTCTCTCTCCTCGCGATTTACGCAGGCTTCACGCTTCAGCAGCCCGCCTGCTCGACCTGGTCGCCTGGGCCCGCCTTTCCGACCCGCCCGTTGGGCTCTACCCGCCCGATCTGCCCGTCTGGTTCTGCCACGTGCGTTCTGCTCCTAGCCCTTCTCCTGCCAATCCCGTGCTCCATCCTTTTCCCTCCCCCTTCCATCCGTCCTTTCTTCCCCTCTTTCAGCGGCTGCACAAAATGGCACGGGGCAGTCAAAGAAGATATTCCCTCAGCGGGGTACGATCGAAGACGAAGAGGGCAGGTACCGAGGGTAGGGATAGACTGGTCGAGTGGCACGCGAGCAGGCAAGAGCGAGCATATTTACAATGATGACTGTGGTGGTTCGTGTTGTTGCTGCTGCTTTTGCTGCTCTTGTTGCTGTTTCCTATTGGCTTCTCATTTTCAAATAATGAGTATTGTTGATACCCTGCGGGTAACACTTTTATGTTTCAATTGAAGTGCTCCTTCCGTGGCTCGCACCTGTTTTTTTTACAAGGGGCAGTGCGGTGCCACAAGACTGTGCCCCATGGCCCCGTTGCACAACAACAACAAACACATAACCAAACATATCATCAACAACATCAACAACAACAACAACGGCACCCGCCGAATATTTCCTTACACGTATTCCAAAGCGCGGGACGTCCTAACAATTTATACAAGAATCGCGCTTTCGCGTGAGACATCCTCGCCATGTATTCAGACGCCGCGCCCTCGACACTCAGGAATCACGAGCTCGCTGGGGCTTTCTCACGATTTATTTGGGCATCGCGCCATCGCTCGAGACTTCCTCGCGATTCATGCAAGACGCACGCTTCAGCAACCCGCCTGCTCGACCTGGTCGCCTTGGCCGCCTTCCCGACCCGCCCGTTGGGGTCTACCCGCCCGATCTGCCCGTCTGTTTCAGCCACATAGCTTCTGCTCCTAGCCCCCCTGCTGCTATTCTCTCTTGTGCTCCATCCTCCTCCCTCCTCCTTGTCTCTTCCTTCATCCGTCCTCTCTTCCCCTCCCTTGCCTGAGGGGCTGCACAAAATACGCGTTTCAGGTAAGAAAGATATATACCCCCAGTGGGGCACGATCGAGGACAAAGAGGGTGGATACCGAGGGTTTCGGATATACGCGTTGAACGGCCCGCGAGCAGATAAGAGCGAACAGCCTTGCATTGATTGTTGTTGTTGCTGCTGCTGTTGTGTTTGTGGTTGTTGATTGTTGATTGTTATTTGTCTGTTCGTATGTTTGTTTTTTGTTTGTTCGTTAGTTTGTTTGTTTGATTGTGTTTTGAACATTATTAATTCTAAAGAATAATTATTGTTGGGCCCCCTGGTGCGCGCCCCCCCCGCCGCGCCTAGGCCGCAGCCACGTTTTCATCATTTTCGTGAGGAAGCCTCAGGTAATTCGAGGTGATCAAGATCCGGTTGTTTTGTTGTAATCCGTTTTCCCTTGCAAAAAACATTATAAAATGACATTTCTTGTTCTAATATAATCAAATTTCAAGAATCCCTTGCAAAAAATAAGGTAAAGTGGACATTCGCGCGCGCAAGACGAAATCCTTCCAAAAGCTTAGTGTTCGGAACGATTTCAACATAAAAACATCAAAAAACCAATGGTTTTTCAACAAAAAAATGTCAAAATCTCATCCCGCGCGCTCTTGCGGATTCGTAGGAAACCTCACATTTTTTCAACATTTCTGTCAAGCGGGTTTTTGCGAGCAACTTTTTCGAACTTCTGCGACAACGGTTGCGCACCTGCCAGGGCCATCATCCCTGTCAAATAATACCATGCGCACAGGAATTCCACAAATGTGACCAACTATCTTGCGATTACGTATCATCTCATGTGTGTCGTGCACACTATCAAATGTAACAGTGTTGTGTATTCCCATCATCCCAGGAACTTGACCCAAAAATGTGACCAACTCCGCTCTCTCTGTCTCTCTCTCTCTGTCTGCTCTCTGTCTCTCTCTCTCTGTCTCTCTGTATTATGTATTGTATGCCACCATTGCACCATGCTGGGCACATGCGCGCCCCGAATGAGTGACCAAGTTCTGTGGGTGTGTACCCCACGCCAGTGTAGTAGCCACGGTCGTCCGCACGCCACGAAGTGAAGTGTCCCAACGTCATAGGGCGGGAAGCTGGGTTTGGGTGGTCGCGAAGAGTCGTTTGGATATTTGGTAGAGCTTGTAATGCCCCCCCACGAAGTGGGGGTATTGCCTGGTGTCGTATGAAAACCCTGGCACTGGGGAGAACACCACGCGTTCGGGTAAAATGATTGTTGTTGTTGTTGTTGTTGCTGCTGCTGCTGCTGCTGCTGCTGCTGTTGTTGTTGTTGTTGTTGTTGTTGTTGTTGTCGATGTCCCACTCGTGACCCGGCCCACGACCCACCCGCGACCCACCCCGCGCCCGCCCTTTCACTCTGATCCGCAACAACGGGGTGCCAAATGAGGCGTTCCAAAAACGGCCTTGCCTTCGAGGATTGAAGGAGTTGTCATCTCTTCCGTGGCGGGATGTCGGCGGAAGGCGTCGGATGTAATCTGGCGGCGGCTCTGTCCGCGGAAGCCGGCGGAACTTCGGCGGAAGCCGGCGGGAGCAAACGTCGACCTCCCAAAAACATGTTTGGGTTCAGGGTTCCCGGAAACCGCCATGTACGAGTATCGTTTAACCAGCCCCAGTGGCCGATTTACCCCCTACATATTGGGGACGTAGACCGTTCCCTTCGGGTTTCGAGGGAGGCACCCCCAACTGGGGGGGGGAATTTGGTTGGGACCTCGAAGGGGATGGGGATGGGGGTCGGTCAAACGATACCGAATATACTGATGTCATGCTGCTCGGCGGCGAGCGAGGGGGGGAAATTAAAAAGGGGCGGGCCTTCTCAGGAGTCTCGGAAGCCCCCCGGCCTTCTGAGGAGTTTTCTGAGCCTGCCCCGGAGACAGAGAAAAAGCCTCTCAGAAGGCTCGAGGGCTTCTGAGGAGTCCCGCCGACTTCCAAGAAGGCCTTCTCCTTCTCACTTCCCCCCCTCGCTCGCCGCCGAATATGGCATTTGGGTATAACTCGGGTCTCCGGCGGCCGTTCGGGACGATCCGGGCACCCGCGGAACGCCCTCGGCGAGGCGCAGCTGCTGGCGAGCACCCGGAGGCTGGAGAGCCGCCGAGAAGCGACGAAACCGTCCGAGAGCACCTCGGAACTCGAACCCCTCGCTCGCCGCCAAGCTGCTGCTCTCCCAGACCCCCGACGTCATGAATTTTTCATGACGTCGACCCCCAGCGGTCTGGACCCATCCCCCGGGACTGGTTCTTTGTCCTGAGTCGTTTTTTGACGGTCCCGAGGGCCGGTAAGGGCCCCCAGAGGCCAAAGATTATGAAAAACCTCCCGTCGTGATTTTTTCATAACTCGAGGGGATCTGCTCTCGCCGCTTCTCGCCCGGCCCCCCGAGGAGGCGCGGGCGGGGGCGGCGCGGCGGCGGCGGCGCCGGGCGGGGGCCGCCCGGAGGAGCGGTGCCGTGGCCAGCCGCGGGGCGCCGCGCGCCTGCTGTGGTCCTTCAGCCTGTTCGCCGCCTTCGCGGGCCGGGCGAGACGGGGGGGACAGTAAAACGACACAAAGATCCCAGGCCCCCTCGAGTTATGAAAAAATCACGACGGGAGGTTTTTCATTATTTTTGGCCTCTGGGGGCCCTCACCGGGCCTCGGGAGCGTCGAAAAACGACTCAGGACGAAAAACCGGTCCCGGGGAAGAGGTCCAGACCGTTGGGGGTCGACGTCATGAAAAATTCATGACGTCGGGGGTCTGGGGGGACAGTAAAACGACACAAAGATCGGGACAAAATCGGATCGGGATAACTCGACATCTCTCAGAGTCGGCGGGTTTGGAGGATGTATCGGGCGCCGCGGCCGCTCCAGAGCGTTCCGGAACGCTCTGAGAGCACTCCGGAACGCTCTGGAGCGATTTCTCCCGATCCCAGCCGTGTTCTAGACAGGGAAGGGGGGGGTCCCAGACATGATCGCGTCGTAAAAAGAGCAGGGCGGCGAGTTGTCCATGATTTTCGGCCCTTCAGGGCCCTCGCCGGGCCTCGGGAGCGTCAAATAACGACTCAGGACGAGAGGCCGGTCCTCGGGAAAGGGTCGGGACGTCCAGGGGCGCCGTCCTGAAAAAATCAGGACGTCGCATGTCTGGGTTGCGAAATCTGCTGCATGCAGCTGGTTTCGGCCCCATCCAGGGGCCCATTCCTCGAGACGTGGCCGCCTCTGGCGCCGGGGGGCGCCAGGAAAATCAGCTATATGTGAGCTGCTTCTCAAACCCCCCCTTTGCTACCCCCCCCCTCCTTCGCCCGGCCCGACCTTCGCGGGCATCGGCGCGGACCTGGCCATGCTGGGGCCCACGCTGCTGGACTTGAAGGATCCGGGCCTCCAGCGCACTGGCAAGACTCACGACGGAGGTGTTTCTCGAGTTTCGGTCTCTCGCGGCCCTCGCCGGGCCCCGGGACCGTCAAAAAACGGCTCCGGAGGAAGAACCGGTCCTGGGGAATGGGTCGAGACTTCCGGGGACCCTGTATGGAAAAATCACGACATCGGATCTCTGGGGATCGCCCCGGAGGCCGCCAGAACCCCCGCCCTGCCAGGTCACCTCATTCGTTTGACCGACCCCCATCCCCATCCTCATCCCCTTCGAGGCCCCCAGCAAATTAGCAACCAAAGTTGGGGATACACCCCTCGAAACCCGAAGGGAACGGCCTATATCCCCATCTAGGGGGGTAAATTGCCCAGTGGAGCCCAGCCGCTGGTGGGGATGGTGATCGGTTAAACGATGCTCATCATCAGCGCGCTGCCGATGACGGGTTCTCGAGAGGGCGCGGTGGCCGCGATCTGGGAGGGGTCCTGCGCCGCGCTGCGCGCGCCGCGTCTGGCCTGGCCCCGTGCCGTTTTGACGGACGGAGGGGCGTTGTGCTGAGGGGGGTTCTGTCCACCCCCAGTGGGCGCCGCGCACAGGTTCAAGGGAGGAGAAGGTGCCCATCATGCTACCTTTCCCTCGTTTTCGCCCTGTTGGGCCTCCTCGGAGCTCCTCGTCGCCACCGCTGGGTCCGCCTTGACGTTCTGGCCAGAGCTCACCCCAGGAGAGGTCCGGGGAGTCGCGGCATCGGTACCTCTTGGTATCCCCACCGGCGGGCTGGCGCGAGGGGGGGGGGCCCCTGAGAAGGTGTGGGGGGGGGGGATTGTCACAGAACGGCATGGTGGGCTGCCCCTCGCGCCGCGACGGGGTCAGAACCAAACGGGACGGGGAAGCCTCGAACAGGATGGTCCGCACCCCAGCGCGTAAGACGCCCAGGATGTGTCAGACCCCACCGAGGCGTTTCAGATGAAATGCCATGTAAGTTACCATGCTCTGCTCTGGGGCTGAGAGTTGTCCATAGCTAGCGCCTGAAGGATCGGCCGTATGGATAGATTTGGACCTTTGGGGGGACCAGCGCATGTCCATGTCCACCGCTGGCTGGGGCCCCAGGACGTCGCCTCCCCAGGCGGCGGATATGCATATATCCCCGACTTGCATATGCCACACAAGATACGCCCATCGAAACCCTTAAAGGAATTGACGCTGCATCGCCATTCGTTGTTGGGGGCTCGTCTGGCGAATTGATGACTGGTCGTAGCATGGGACGCACGCACTTCATGTGACGAGGCAGCCGCTATTGTTTGAGAACCGCATGATGCTCGAATGGACGCGGCACGGCTTTCACGTGGGGAACACGCACATTGCCTTGACACGGGAACCGAATGGTGTTCATTTGGGAACAGTGTGGGATTAATGTTGGAACCGCATGTTTCCAAGCGCGCGCCGCGCCAATATCATGTGAGTTACGCACGGTTGCCCTCTGAATTACGGGCACATGTTCCTAGTTGATCGCATGGTCTTGAAACGAAAACCATATGGTGTCCAAATGAATCCCTTACAGCTTTCTCATGTAAGTTGTGCGGTTTGCCTTGCTGTGAAAGTCGCACGGCTTTAATGCGAGAGGCATTTTTGTATGAGGTGTGTCACGTGTTTGGTTGCCAGGTGAGACTTGCATTGCTCCCGCATGCAAGCCACTTGGACTCGACTTGGGATCCCACGGTTTCCTTATGGGAGTGATGGTCGCAATGTTGTCGCAGCGGTCGTGCTGTTGCGTCGGATGGGTGCGCCCCTGTTTCGCTGCCTGTTTTATCTGAGTGCTCGCTCCGTGGGTTTGCGAGGACGACGGATAGTTGGTCAGCTGGACGCTCGTCCGTTCGGTTGGTAGGCTGGTTGGTTGGCACTCATGCAGTCGGGCCGAGGTCTCAGATCGAGGTCGGTTCGGGGAGGGTACCCTCGTGTTCTTCGTGCTCGCTGGATGCTCTTGTGGCATCCTGGGGAGGGTACCCTTGGATGGTCTGTTTGTTTTGGCCGACGGAGGGTCTCGTGTCCTTGAGGGATGTTCTCCTGGCCTAGGTCCGAATGTACAGAGGCAGCGCCGCTCGCGGTAGAAGTGCCGCGCGCAGCGGACCCGGCGCAGTTGCAGCCTGTTGCGGGCTGTGCTGCCACCAACAACAGCGATGTAACGTAAGATCGCGCGGCAACGCAGTCAAACTACAGATGATGCAGGGACGCAGCACATGGCGCCAGAAAGGCCGACCACTAAACGGCAGGCACGCCAGCGCATCTGGATTGCCCTGCCGGCCAGAGAGGGCCGCGCGCAAGCGTCGTATCACGCCAGTGGCTTGGCCGCGGCCTTGTGCCACAGGTTCGCGCAGGAACTTTGGGCCGCGGCAGCCCGCGCCAGAAGAACGTCTCGTCGCTGAGGTTGGGATCGGGCCCAAGTGGCTGCGGGAGGGGGCCAGGAGAAGGATCAGCGCACCGCGGACAGCCGTGACTCCCAGGAGCCCTCCGGAAGCCTCTCGGGAGCCTTTCAGAAGCTTCTCAGAAGTTTACCAGGAGCCTGTCAGGAAACCCTCAGCAGTATGTGTTCTCTCTATAGATTATATATCTGTACATGTATCACTGTTCTCTCTCTCTATATATATATTATATGTATATCTATATATCCATCTCTCTTTCTCTCTCTCTCTCTGCCTCTCTCTTTCTCTCTCCGTCTCTCTCCTTCTCGTTTTTAGAAGCTTGTCTGGGAAGCTCGAAAGAAGCTCCGTTGCGGTCTCACCCATCCGAGGCGTCGTGCCCGTTGGGTTGTGGACCGTCTCGTTGGGGTCTCACCTGTCCCATCGGGGTCTACCTCTCGGAATCCTCTGGCACCCTCCACCTGTGCGCGCCGCCAACAGGAGCAGCTGGGCGTGTCTGAGGGGGCTGCCTCTGTGTTGTTCCCCTGCCGAGCGCTGGGCTACATGGCGGGCGCTCAGCTGGGCGGAAAACTTGGGCGTGCCCGCAACATAGCGTTGGCACTGCTTGTGCCCCTGTCTCTGACGTGCATGGGCGCCGCGGCGGTGGCATTCGTGAGAGACCTCGCCCTCGCCTGCCTGCTCATGTCGCTCCAGGGCGTAGCGATGTCGGAGGAGGGCCAGTCGAGACATTGGCGGTCCACAGCAGTGCTGGAACTTCGGTTTTTATCATTGATGCTACCTACGGAGCTGGGTGGGTGTGTCGGGGTTTCGTCTGGTGCCCGCCTGGTGGGCACCGTTGGGCGCCCCGTGCGCTGGGCGGGTGCGCCGGGGTTTGGCACAACAGAGGTTCGAGCAATGTGCGGCAGCAGGCTCGACACAGCGATGTGAACCGCATGCTCGTGCCCACGTTCCGTTCGGGAGCTCTGAAACCTCCACGAGGCTGCGGGCGACATGCCACTGACCCAGATCTCGAACAGGTCGCGCGGCGCAAGTAACTGTGCGCCCCTGGCCGGGGAGGGAAGAGGGAGGAAGAGAGGGAAAGCAGTAAAGGCGCAGGGAGAAAGGGAGGCGCGAAACGCCCAGGGGGGGCTGCGGGGGGCGGCAGCAATGGCAACCACCGCCCCGCGATTATCATCGTGCACGAGACAAAGCGAGTGTGCACAATGAGTCGACGCCTGCATCCAGCAAGTGCATGGGGTCACCTCACACTCTCCGTTGTACTGCAAGTGTCGCCGTTTCCATACTAGCGGGAGGAAGGGGACTCCACAGGCGAGCACTGGCCCGGGCAAAAGAGGAATCATATCAAGAGGGGGGAGGGGGGAGAAAGGAGCTGGAGAGAGCCGGGAGGCGGAGGAGACCAGCGAGCGGCCGCAGAGTGTGAGCCACCCGACCCCATCGCTGGGTGCACGCGCGCTGGCCCGAGGCCAGGAGCGGGAACACAGAAGTGTGGGGGAGGAGGGAGAGTATGATGATGATGATGATGATGATGATGATGATGATGATGATGATGATGATGATGATGATGATGATGATGATGATGATGATGATGCTGATGCTGATGCTGATGCTGATGCTGATG